GCTCCCAAACACTAAATATATTAACTAAGTACTCTATGAATAAAAGTGATAAACACTATAAAATGTTCATTAAAAATGTATCATAGAGTTGATGAGTGGTAATTTCACAAATAGTTAAATCTAGCATTTCATTCATGAGTATGGTTTTCTAGGTGGAATTAAAATTTTGATACTTTTACTAAAAATATTTTTTCAATACTTAATTTATATTAAGCCTGTATCAAAAAACATTAATTTTAATTATATAATTCAAGAAGTCCAAAACAAGTTAGAAAAATACAAAATATCAATTAGTTTTATATTGCTAATCCAGTTGGTAAAAGAAGAAAAAACATGTTCTTGTAAGTTTGGGTTTTTATAATTTGACCTAAAGTTAATTTTTACATATTACATTTAATCTACATGTTTATATATAAATACTTTTCATTAAATTCCTTAAATAATGTCATACAAAATAGCAAATTGTTGAAATTAGCATTTTACTGACTTAATGATTTATATTTTCAGTGTAACACTTAATGATTTACATTTTCAGTGTCATTTTAATAAAATGCAGGCTTCTTGATAATGGAATGGAATAATATAGTTTTCAAAATGAAAATATTAAATATTGCTATTGATTAAATTAATGAAGAAGATGATAATTTTTCAAGTAAATTAAGAATTTGTTTATATAATTTGTGGATTAGGGATGGAAGAAGAGAAGAATGAGCAACTTCCTAGATAATTTGGGAAAAATTGTTGGTGATACTTTTGTGTATTCATTTTTATTACAATAGATAGGGTTGCTGTGTGCAAGATAATACTTTCGGGTCTCAAAGCTTTTTTCTCCCCCCAAAATTTTCCATAACCATGGCCCCTCATTTTATACAAAGTTGGCTTTCTAGGAATTGAAGAGAAATCAAGCAAACCTCAAAGGGATCTCTAAAAATACTTTGCCTGAGGATAGGGTCCTCCTCTGTGACTCCAGGACACTGGAATAGAGCACTTGCTTGAACCTATTTTAATACAATACACATTTCCAACTCTCTCAGGCATAGCACCTCGTTGAGCTCTTTCCCTCATAAAAATATATTTTGTATGAATTAAAGACACTGGGCCAGATTCTCAGCCTTCATAACTCCAGGGGAATACCGACTCATCAAGTCTACTCACACTGCATTTCCCTAGAGTTAGGAGAATGGGAATTTGGCCTGTGGTAGTTTATTCTCTTGCCTTAGAGCGCTCTAACTTTTTCTGGGACTTCATAATTTGAAAATCTTATTGTCCTAATTTTTTCTTCCTCTAACATATTTCAGCTAAAGTCTGAATCTTATCATTTCTTTTGCCTTAACTTTTATCTGTAACTCCTTTGGTACTTAATCTTCTCTGCAGTATTACTGATGCTCTGAGAGGCAGGGTTTCCTTCTTCCTTCCTCTTCCTTCCTTCCTTCCTTCCTTCCTTCCTTCCTTCCTCTCTTCCTTCCTCTTCCTTCCTTCTTTCTCTTCTTTCTTTCTTCTCTTTCTCTTTCTTTCTTTCTCTTTCTTCTTCTCTTCATTTTGTTCATATGTGGAGATGAACACTAGTAAACACTAAAGGGAAATGCTTGGCTTGACTTACTTACTCTTTTCAGTAAAACATAGATGGTGATAGAATTTTTGAAAGAAAGTAAAACAGGCAAGAAATTTCCTTTTTCCTAAATGTTTAGCTTTGAAAAAATAATATTTATTATAATTATAAAATAAATTTCTGTGTGTATGGGAGGCACATAGTAGCTATCATTTGTTATTTGATGTGTAAATAAACTGAAAAGTAAAAAAAAAACATGACAAGTCATTGAAAAATGCTAGTTATCACTTCAATCACTTCATCACTTTAACTATTGTGGCAGATGCTACGCCTCATTTTTTAACTAAAGCAATAACACATGTAAAATGTAGCTTTTAAAAAGTAACAAAGAGAGAATTGATCTGGGTGTGAAGAATGCTCTCATGACATATAAACATGTTTCTGATTTTATATTTTAAATTGAATTTTTTTATCTCTGACATGTCTTATTATTTGTGTTCTTATAAAGTAATATAACCATCACTTTCTATAGATCCATTAAGAGGTAATTAATTCAACCTATTGAGTTAATTACTGGTGCTGGGACTGTTCATATCAACTGGGATACAGTAGAACTGAAAAGATGATCTTTTTCATGGAGCTTACATGAGATGCAAGATATGTGTTTTTTTAAAAAGTACATAAGAGAGTAAATGTGATAGTTAACAAGTACAACAGAAAACAAGATAGAGTAAGGAAGAGAAAAAGTGACATTTAAATATGAAGATCAGAATTAGCTTTATTGGAAAATCGATATTTGAGTCAAGACTTAAAGTGTATGAAGGAGGTGCAGATATGTGTGACAAAAGCATTACAGGCAGGGTGGAAAGCCAATGCCAGAGTCCCCAATGAGTCACGTATTTGTATGTAGAGTAAGTCTTCACTTGACATTGCCCATGGGTTCTTGGAAACTGCAACTTTAAGTGAAATGACATATATCAAAACCAAGCATGTTTTCTCATAAATGTTTATTAAAACAATGTTGAATGAAACAATGTTTTTCAAGGACCTGATTGTATGTCATTTCTTAAAGTCACAGTTTCAAGATCTATTGATGACATTATGAGGACATCTGTATTAAAAACATTGAGAAGAAGACAATGTAGTTACAAACATGAGCAAGAGAGAGAATTAGGACATAAAGTCTGACAACAGCGAAGTGCTGCACGATCACATCGGGCTGGCAGCATTTATATATTTGGTCATTCGCATCTTGACTGAAATGATACATTGCAGGATTTGAACATGGGCGTGACAAGATTGGGCTTATATTTTAAAAGTTGCACTGTGGCTGCTCTGTTGAGAATAGACTGTAGGTGCAAGGACAGCATCCACTTGGCCATTTAGGGAGTGATTGCCGTCATCCTGGCAGGAGATTATGGTGACTTGGTGGAGAGCTCTAGCAGTGTGGATGGAGGGTGGTCAGATGCTGGTAATATTTTGAAGTTAGAGCTAACAGCATATGGTATGAGTTTGGCTTTGGAGAGTGAAAGAACGGAGGTGCCAACTAAAGAAGGCTTCATATTTTTTAAAGGAAGAATTGGAAGGATGCAGTTATCATTGCCTTAGACAAGAAAGGCAGTGAGATGAACAAGTATTCAGAGGAAGTCCAGAAAATAAATGTTTTATGTGTTGAATTTAAATTTTTTTTAGACATCCTGGCAAAGATGACAAGTAGGTACTTGCATATACAAGTGACTATGTGGGAGAGAAGGCTGAGTTGGAGTTATAAATGGGGATATTGTTCATATATTGGTAGTATATAATATAGGCCAGGGCTTTAGACAATTCTCTATCTGCAGTTAGTGCAGATAGAGAAGAGGACCAAGATCTGTGCCTTAGTCTCTTTCTACATTAAGATACTGGGGGGACAAGGAGAAATCAACAAAGTATCTAAAAGGGGTGAGCAGTGGTATAGTTGGAAAACCAGGAGAGTGTGTTAACGTGGAAGCCAAGTGAAGAAAGGGTTTTAAGGAATAGGGTGGGATCAGCTTCATCAAATATTACTTAATAAGAGAATTGAAAATTGGCTGCTAGAATCAGAAATGTAGAACTATCAGTGACCCTGCCCAGAACAGTTTCAGTGCAGAAGAAATACGGAGCAGTATATTGATTGGAGTAGTTATGGGTTCAATTGCGTCCTCCACCAAAAGATGGCAAAGTCCTGACCCCCAGTGTCTGTGAATGAGGCTTTATGTGGACATAGGGTATTTGCAGATGATCAAGTTAAGATGAGGTCATTAGAGTGGGCCCTAAACCCGTATGACTATGCTTTTATAATAATTAGAAATTTAGGCACAGAGGCAGACACGTACAGAGGGAAGAAATGTGAAGACATAGGGAAGACCGTCTATAAGCCAAGGAACACCTGAGGCTACAAAGGCTGAGAAGGAAGCATGGAACAAATTCTCCCTTACAGCCTTCTGAAGAAACCAACACTGCCAGCATTCTGATTTTCAACTGCTTGCCTCCAGAACTGTGAGACAAGAAATTTCTGTTGTCTAAACCAGCCACTTGGGGATATTATGTTACCATCCCAAAAAACAACCCCAAGAAGCTAAAACATGTTGCATGTAAAAACATTTGATAGGAGTGGAATTGGTAACATACTATAGTCCGCAGTGACAAGTCCGCAGCTATGGCTACAGAAGAAATGACTCACAGGGTCTCTATGCCTTTCAGTGTATGCATTTGCTTTCAAATCATTTCCAAATAAGTGTTTATTGAGTGACAATTATATGCATTCAACTTTGATAAATGGCGGTGTGGAGAGCTGAGCTGTATGGAATGTTATCAGGCTCTCAGGAACTTATGGACTTTTGCTTGTTTCTCTGTTTACAAACCATTGACCAAGCAAGGCCTTGCTTGCTGTGTGTCCCCCACCCCACCCTTCTAAGTCCCCAGCTCTCCAATGCCAGGCGTCTGTCTCCCTCACTGTGTTTTATACTCCTAACTCATGTTAGGCTTTACGCACCGGATGCTTTCTCTTTCCAGGATGTTCTTACCCCAGGTTCTGTGTGGCCCCCCTCTCCCTCTCGTCTTCACAGTTGTCACTCATCTTCCCAGAAAGGTCTTCCCTGGCCAGAGCCTACCTAAAATTATAACAGCCCTACTCCTTCCCACCATGGAGTTTTAAGAAGGTAGAAACAGAAGTGGATCAGTAATGGAAGACTCTGTGCAAGACAGAGAAAGTATATAAACAGAAGTAATTGTACGGGTAGAAATAGCAGCTAGATATGATAATAAAAATGTGATATATAGATACTCATACATATATATGAGTGCATGCATGTGTGGACCCAAATCCAAAACTATACTTTCTTTTCAAATCTTCAGAATACGGTCACAAAAAAATTTTTCCATATGTTAGGCCACAAAAGAAATCTCAGTGAATCTTTTCCTCCCCTGACAGATTCTGTGTGCTAAATCGATTGCAGAGGACTGGGTACCAGTTGCCCAATATGAGACCGGGCTGGGAGCACCTTGGGATCTCAACTGCAGCAGCAACCTTGTGACTGCACACTGAGGAGGTAGCCGGCACCTGACCAGGCTCTGTGTGTTCCTCCTTCAGCTCCCAGGTACCCAGACCAGTAGAACAAAAGTATTGAAAAATCCTGTTTTTTAATGAACTACATTAATTACTGCCGAATGCTGAAAATTAATCATTTTTCATATTCTCTTTTTACCCTCTCCAGATCACTGTTCTTGAGTTAAAATTATTAGTTAGAAATGCTAACAAAACAGAAACTTTTTTAGAAATTTTGTTAATAACCCCTGTTTTATAATTCTAAATGCTATCTCTTTAACTTTACTGGGAAAATATTATTGACAAAGTTCCGACTTCTCTGACTGCCTAGATATCTTTCAAAAGGATAAGGAGGAGATTAGTAAAAAGTATGTTTGGTAAATGTAGACATTTACAAATTTGTATCCCATAGACCAACAAAGGGAGGAATTTGTCATAGTGTTGGTATTCATCCAACACAGGGCAAATTTTGGAGAAATTGATATTTGGAAGAAAAAAAAAATCCCAAACTCCATTACCACATATAACTTTTGCTGGAAACAGAAAACTTCCCATAATGCTACTATTTACAGGCGTATTAGTGGCTCAAAAATAGCAAATTGTTTTATTCCTATAAATCTATATGGGATTTTTATGTAAATATAATAATGTTTTTTAATACCCCTGTACGGTTTTTCTGTGCTGAAGATATGAGTCTTTCTATCACTGAAGAAATCATTGGTAAACAGCCTGCAGACATTTTAAAGCCACATCACTGGATGGTAGCCAGGTCTTCTTTTCACCCGTTAGTCTTTTTTGGTCCTTTATCTCAAACATCAATTCTAGTCAGGATTTTTTATCCACCTCTTCAGGCATTAAGTTAACCACAGAATAGGCATTTTAACCAACAATCAAATTCAGATGAAACAGAAACCACATCTGCCACTATTATCTAACCTATAATGTTCTAAGCTAACCACCAAGAGTTTTGATTTATTGTTTGGAATTTGTTAATTTTATTTTTTAATAACCTAGAAAGTTAATCAGTAGAATATTTATAAGCATAATAATATATACTTGCATGTCACATAATGTCTTTAAATGTATTTCGGTAAGGAAAGAACACTAATTTTGTTTATTCATTTGCTTTTTTTCTTTCTTAAGAATAAGTACTACTTCTACTTATATAATTTTACATAAAGAAATATGGATGGGATGAAGGAAAATTATTTGGATCATAATCTTCCCATTGAGTGACAATTCTAAGAGGAATTGAGCTTATAGCTATACATTTTTAAATCAACGAAACCAATGGGCTCCTCCTACTTAAGGAAGTACACACTGCTATATTGAATTCATACCTTATTAAAAATCAAATTCTAATGACACTAAAAATGGAAAGATGACTCAATGCCTTAAACTCAAATTATGTGCCAAAGATAATTTTTTAGGTGCTAGAAATTAGAGAAAAACAATAGAATTACTGTCTTCATGGGAATTACATTCAAGTGACAGAAATAGAAAGTAAATATACAAAAAAATGAATAAGAAAGACAATATATTGAAAATGTCTATGAGGATTAAATAAAAGACAGGGTAGAGAGTGCTTAGATGCTGCTCATTCAGAGAGGTGATTTGAGATAAGGTGGGTGGCAAAGACCAGCCAATGGGAATTAAGTTTCAGTTAAGATCCCAATGATGTGAAGAAGGAAAACAAAAAGATCTGTGAAAAGTACATTTCAGAAAAAGGGAAGAGCAAGGATAAAACTACCTAATTAGTCCAAATTTACAGAGATTCAAGTTAGAACTCCTTAGTATTGACTGTAGCCTAATTGAAATGGAATACTAAAACTTCAGACTGGAGACACTTACCTATTTGATTCATAAAAAGATTGTTAAATATCTGGCAAGTATTTTTTTAATGCTATAGGCTTTAGATGCAATAGAATCTATGGCTTCGAAGGGGAAAAAAATCAAATATACCCTCATGAGCTATAAAACGAATGAAACCAACAGGTCGCAAAGTAGCATAAACACAAAACTGAGTTTAAGGAAATTTATAATACCTAGGAAAGTTAAAAGGAAAAAAAAAGAAGAAGCAGAAGAAGAAAAAAAAAACTAGGAGCTGGGAATTAGAGCCAGGGAAAGGATAGACATGAAGTGTACATTTTCAAGAGTCAAGCAATTATAACAAAATTTTAGAGATTCCTGGGGTAATCAAAAAGAACTCTATCTAGAGAATATAAACTTTATTTTTGCAGATCTGATTTAAGTTAGAGGTTATTTTCCATCAAAGAGTAAATAAAATATCATCCTTTGGGATTTGAAACTCTTCACTTTATGAGAAATCTGTAATGCTATTTTGGGTTTCTTGTTTTGAAAGAGAACAAGATAATTGCTGCAGAGAAAAGTAATAAAAATAGGCAGGATAAAAGACTACATAAGTAGTGATGAAAACTGGAGAGAGGAACTCAAATAAGCAGACTTTAAAAATTTGAGTGGTAAAAATTTCACTTCCAATTTTGAAGCTAAAAGAGAAAAAAAAAACATGTTAAAATATGTTCAATTACATGGTGGCAATTTCAGAAAGGAGAAAGTATCCTTTGGGAAAAGTCAAACTTTTCTAAACACCAAGGTCTAAAAGAAATACGAATTCTTTAATTGTTAAGTATTGCTACAAGGATCAGCACATTCAGCACCATTCCTTTAATTAAAAAGGTGAAATATTTCATATGTCTCTATTTGTGATATTCTATTTCATATGGTTATTATTATATTCTTTGATGAAAGTCAATGACATTATATAAAGATGCAACATACTGAAGAAATTTTCTATAAAGCTGAAATATTATGCTGGAAAATATTTGGGGTTTCCTAGTTGTCAGGCTCATTTAAGGAAAGTAAGAAGAGTATAAGAACTTCAGATATTTCCCCCAAATTCTATTTTATCAGGTGAGCTTTTCATCAAAACCTGAGAGAAAATACCTTATTCTCTTTTAAAAAGACTTCAATTGTTAGTGTTCTGAGTTGCAGGTTGAAGCTTGAAAAATATTCCCTCCACACACATATAAACCCACAATAAAATAAACATTATTTTGTAAAAAGTTAGGAACCTAAGAAAATTCCCATTTAGAAAAAAGGATAACCTATTACTACATGAGTTTGTTCAGTAGTAAAGGTCAGAATTTTCTTTTGAAGCCATACTCAGTAAAATAGTGCATGTTACCAAATAGTTTGGTGTCCCCAAAATTCTACACCAGAAAGCAGTGGTGAAGTGATTCAATCCAGGTAAACATTTCTGTGACTTCACCATGAACAACATTCCCATGGAATGTTGGCTTTGGACATATACCATGCTGGTAGAGCTATCTTGGTGAATTAATTGCAAAATATTCTTATAATAACTTATCAAATCTCTGTGGATTATGTGTGAAATCAGTCAAAATTTTGAATTATAATACCAAATATAATAAAGATAAATACCAAAAGTAATTTTAGCATTAAATTAGTTTTTTAAGAATTATTTTGAAAATTACATATTATCTTTAATAATCCTTTTAATAAAACCATATGGTCAGTATATTTTCAATACTAAAATTGAATCCAACCAGATTACCTAATAATGCTTTAAATATGTAAATATAAGTTAAAAATTACAATGGCCATATCGTATTTCACTTAATATTGTTATCTAATCTGTCAGGATATTTTTATTAAAAAGGCTCTTGCAGCAATAATAAAATATAGGTATCATATAAACATATAAATATCAATAAATATAAGTTTATATTTAGCTTATAATACATTGTTTTTATTTTCAATATCCTAAAAAGGGTCAATAATTATCACCAATAAACTTAAATCATTCTTTATGTACTTTACAAAATTATTTCATAGCAATAGCTGCACATTGTTGATATGATTGTGTACTCATAGGTTGCTGTATTTCCTTTATCAATATTATATTCAGAAATGTGATGAATTTGTTTCACTATGTTTCTTGAGTTAATAAAGTTGCTTAAACTCTATCACTTATATTAACTTCTTATACAAGTCAACCAGCACCTATTAGTAATGAATTTTTCCCAATATATGTGATATTTTACCAAATTTGCCAATGTCTGTATATTCTCTTTTTATGCTATTTTAAACTAATATATTCTGATGAACCAAAAGAATAAGAGAAAATATTGATAATTGAGTGTTCCTTGGATTTTCTTTCTTTCTACTACTTAAAGATTTACATAAATCTGTATTTTCTCTAGAATTCAAAACTCTAGTCTTTTATATCCAGAGTAAAAGATACATCATCACCTCTATTTTTAATTGAAACTTCTCCAGGAGAAATGGTGAGTCATTAATACATATGCTTTTCAAGAAGTACAACTTTATTTCAACAAAGTCCTTCTGAGATATTTCTAACGAGTTTTTCTGAGAACACAAATCTTTTTGAAACAGGACATATGCTCCGTTTTATAACTCGTGCCACTTTCTTGGTGGTTATATTATTTTCTGTAGAATTTCCTTCTAAACTAGCTGATATGTTTTCCAAATAATTTCATAAATATGTAGAATGTTTCAATAGCTATATAATAAAATTATTTATATATATGTGTGTGTGCGCAATAAGGGCTTATATTTGAAAGACTTTTAAAAATATATGCTGTTGTCTGGAAATGAGCAGAATCTCATTTCCAGAAATTAGTTGGTAACTGAACACATTCGAAACAAGTATTCTCACTTGAAGCTAAAGTGTGAAATGGTAAGATGCTGGAATTAAAAAGAACTACTTCTCAAGAGTAGTAGATGAGCATAAGTACCCAGCGAACAGAGCAAATGAATGAGGTTATGAATGATAAGCATCTTAAGTTAGAGATCAAGTTTATTTATCATTGTATTATTCTCATCACCCTGTCCATAGGAGATTTGTAATAAAATTCATTGGGTAACTGATTAAGTAAATGAATGGATGAATACATCAAAACATACAACTTTTTTTTTTACCTCTTTCTATACATACACACATATGTATCTATATGTAAATATATATGCATATAAAACATAGAAATGACTACTAACATATATACATATGTGTGTGTGTGCAGTGGTCCCCCTTTATCTGCGGTTTCACTTTCTGTAGTTGCAGTTACCCATGGTTAACCATGGTGAGAAAATCAGCAAGTGTACTACAATAAGATATTTTGAAAGAGAGAGACATCATTCACGCAACTTTTATTACTGTATATTGTTATCATTTTTCTATTTTATTATTAGCTGTTAATCCGTTATTGTAGCTCATTTATAAATTAAACTTTATAAGTATTGCATGTATAGGAAAAAAATTGTATATATAGGGTTTGCTGCTATCTGTAGTTTCAGGCTTCTACTGGGGGATTTGGGAATGTATTCTCCAGGGGTAAGAGGAGACTACAGTATAGACAGAGAAAGAAAGAATCGCACACTTATTGAATACAAGATCATCATAAAAATCAACATGCAAAACAATTTGGATTTATCCATCCATTTATTAAGAAATACTGAAAAAAGTACTGAAAATCTACCACATGTATGGCATGTATATGGGTTTAGTGCATACTGTGATGTATAAGGTGAATATCTTGCCCTTAATGGTTTCCCTGTCTACTTTTATAGACCCCAGTAAAATCACATACACACATACAAACCCTCTTGGTTAGCCACATGAAAATGTCACTTCAAGAAGAATGTATTGATGGAAAGCTTAATAAGTCATTCTATCCTTAGGCTAAATGACAATAAGTGAACAATTTGACAACTTCAAAAACTGCAAAGTAAATAAAAGATTCCCATCTCAACCAGTGTTGGGATGAAAGCTATCAAAGCCCTTGGAATGCTTAGAAGTATATATGGAGTTAAGTACTACCCTGCTTCTCATACGTGAGCAAAATTTGTGATTACTGCTGCTCTTTGTAGAACACAAATCTTGACCAGGCTTCCGTTAGCAGTGCAGATCTAAAAGAACACAGAAGATTCATTAAATTCCCCCCAATTCATCTCTCCATCTTCAAAAATCCTGTGTTGGGAACTTTTGAGGTTAGATTCTATTCAAGTTCACCTTAGTGGTCTTAATACTTTTGTAAACATTACTTCTAGAGGTTGCATTGAAATTCCTTATGATTGATTTTTTTGTCAGATAATAATGCTATTTTCATGAATTTTACTGAATCCAGACACTATTTATTGCTTCTCAATAGTATTTGCAATGGAAGTGCTTAAGGCACCATGACACCTTGGTTAAAGGGATAATAGAAAAGGGTTACATGATGACCAGTGTTTCTGACAGTTCTTAAAATTTTAACTTGAGTAACGGTTTGATAGCAATGCTGATATCTGATGGCTGCTATGATGAGGAAGGCCAGACTTTTGAAAGGATGTATAACTTTTCTCTATTGTCCTTCATGCATGATAGCATTACACAGTCTTTTATGACAATTCCTAATGGACAGCTTATATGAAATTGATATACTCAGGGTGGTGGATTTTAAGTTTTGATAGTTTCTATAAAACAATAGTTGTGTTTTACTCAATGCATCTTCTAAAATATGATTTATTTCACCATTTAATAACTAGAAATATTGTGAAACCATTCATGTACATGTATGTTTATATACATGGATTAGAATAGCTTAAGTATAAATAATAGAAGTTGAATTTCTGGAGTGAAAGTAGAAGTATATTTAACATGCTGATATATCATAACACATTTCCCTTCCAGATGGTTGACAAGGATTTATAAGTTCACAAGAGTGTCTGAAAAGTTATATTTTTATATATCTTGGCCAAGAGAGCATTGAATCAAACTTTGAAGTGTTTTTCAGGCTATTAGGTGAGAAAATTATACATATATACACGTGTATATATATGTATACACGTGTACATATATTTTAAATATTTATTTACTTGAAGATAAATGTGAGACTCTTTTTTCTTATTTTAATAAGCATTTAAAATTATTTTTCTATTATCCTGTTAATGCCATTTGGATATTTTATGTTTGGTTACTAAGTTTTTTATCACAGGTAGAAAACTAGAAGCTGTTCAGCCCATCTCATCTATTGATACTTGCAAAAGAGACAAAAAATAAAATCAAAAACAACAACACACATGTAAACACACATAGAGAAAACACTACCAAATTTTCTTGGTGGGGGAGACTAAGGAGAACATTGATTTGAGATTCAAACCTCAGAAGTATAAACTTTAAAGGAAAGTAATAGATAATGCCCATGGGAGTATTAGGATGTGCAGGTAATTATATTTATTTTTTGTTCATATACTGTCTCAATAAAGAGTCTCAGAAGATTAGGCAGAGAAAATATAGATAATTCTTTCACTGTAGCAGAACCTTACAGCATATATGATTGCTAGATCCTAGTGGTTTGAGTAAATACTTTATCTGTTCTATAATCATGAGTCTAAAAAATTAGAATATTTTATAAATATTCCAGAAGCAAAGGCAAGGGAAAATCAATTTGTGTACTGGCAAATAACAAATCATGACCAATCTTCTCATTCAGGAAAAAAATGAACATATCATAAAACATACACCCAAAATTACAGAACAGAGTTTTGGGCATTAGAATAACACAATCAGATTTATATTCTTAAAATATTCCCCTAGCTGTGTGGACAATAGTAAGACCAGCATGTATCAGAGAAAACTTACTAGAAGAGTAGAGTATTACAATAGCCCAGGCAAAAAAAGAAGAGTGTAGGTTCAAGGTTATTAAAGGCAGACAAAAATATGTGGGCATATCAAATGTATTTCAAGATAGAATTAACAATATTAATATTACTTTGAAAAAGGAGGAGGATTTCTTTGTTGGTGTTCTAAGGGTAGAAGGAGATGATGAAATCAATTTTGAACAAGACTTTGAATTTCCTATGAGACATATATGTGGGTATGAAGTCAGATACTTGGAAATTAGAAGAGTATTCTGCATTGGGGATATAACTTCGAAATAGCAGTTATATTTCATTGATGGAATGAGGCTAATCATGATCACTGAAGGAGACAATACAGCATAAGAAGAAGGGCCAAGCACTGAGCCCTTTAGAGGTCAATAGCATTGAAGAGGTAGGTAGAAAAGAGAAGCCAAGAAAGAGGCTATCTGAGTCTGTTCAGGCTTCTAGAACAAAACACAATAAACCTGGTGGTTTATAAAAAAATAGAAATTTATTTCTCACAGTTCTAGAGTCTAGTAGATTTGTTGTCTAGAGAGGGCCCACTTTCTGGTTCATAGATGGCCACCTACCCACTGTGTCCTCACATAGTGAAAGAGATGAGGGAGCTCTCTGTGGTCTCTTTGATCAAGACATTAATGCCATCCCTGAGGGCTCTGCCCTCATGACCTCATCACCACCCAAAGGCCTCACCTCCTGATATCATCATATAGGAGCTTAGGATTTCAGCATATTAATTTTGGGAGGATGCAAACATTTAATCTATAGAAGAGACCTAGAAAAAGTTGGTAAGTCCTCTGAGAAAGAAGAGAAAAAACAGAAGATTATGGTATCACACAATCAAGAAATGAGAATTTCAAAGGACCATATGGTCAACCAAAAAAAGGAAAAAGAAAAAAATGATTACAAAATTTCAATAGAAAGACTGAGAAAGATTCCTTTTGATTAATTTTATATAATCACTGTTAATTTTAGTAAAAACAGGTCCCCAAATTCTTATCAATATATGCTTCATGTTAGTGGAAGAGTGCCTAAATAATTTTGACAATAAAAAATTGTGCAGAAAAATATGTTTATCACTACTAAAGAGTGTGACATGAAATTTCACCAAATGGAAACCAGAAAAAAATGAAAAAATGTTCTTATTTTTCTGCATGTAAACAAGAGAGTTGTTAAATAAATGTTTTAAAACTAGAGTGTTTGAAGATTCATAAAATAACCAATCTCAAGTTATTCTCCATTTTTTACATGCCAATTAAAGTTTTCAGGAAGTAAGACATATATAAAAATGCTGAGTTTATAGAATACCAAGCCTCTGTGTAAAGCTTATATGTAAAGAAAGAGATGTCCAACCCTTCAAGCCTCATACAAATATCAAAATATTGAGAAATAGCTAATAAATTAGGATAATGCTGACAATGCAGTTAGAAAAATGAAAATCAAACATTATTTGAAAATCAAACATTATTTTCCCAGTTATTTTTTTATTCATACCTAATATTATTAATAATAATCCTTATTTCTGGGTAGTATTGATTTGCAATTTTTCTGTCTTTAATGTTTCTTTCTGTTGTAAATTTTCAACCATGTACATAAATTGTTTTCATGTCACAAATATATTTAGGAA